GGGAGGGAGGGAGGGAGGGTGGGATAAGACATTAGGAGTGATCCAAGATGTAGATTTCAGACCTTGAAGACAAAGCCCGTAAAGTGTGGGTAGTCAGGTGCAACATCGCCACAATCGCTGTCGTGTACACCTGGGGACAATCCATGGTTCAGAAATGCCTCCAGAAAAAGCTCAACCTGTGACAAATCAAATGAACAGATCGCCAAAAAGCAAGACAAAAAAAAAAAGTCACAGACCAATAGGGAAGTACGTCCAGATAGAGCCTCCCTTTACGTTCCTTAGTATCTCAAGATTCTCAACTTTCAAGCTGCGAACACCACACCATGCAGATCAACTTCTGAAGCTCATCAGCCTCCTGATGAGTCAGTTGGTGAAACTCCGACGAGACAGTTTGTCACAACCTCTCGATTGTTGTCCTCTTCTCCCTACCTCTCTGCCCCTCCGGTTTACCATAGGCGGTTCTGTTTGACGATAAAAAAAAAAAAAAAAAAGAAAGAAAGAAGTTCAAAGAACGGATAATGTATTAAGGTTTGACTTTTCAGTGTTTTCATGAATCGCATCCCAGTAACAGTGAGTTGACTTTTCACTCAACTTCAACTTCACTGTTTCAAAATTCAAAGATAGAGGGTGCACGTCCACGGTGAACTTTGCCCTCCTCCTCCTTTTCTTTTGTGATATTTGCCCTTCTTCTTTTTTTTTGGTGAAATTTCAATTTTACCCTTCTTTTTGTGTGTGTGTGTGTGTGTGATTTTTGCCCTTCTTGTTTTGTTTTTTTTGGGTGACCTTTGCCTTTCTTTTTAATGTTGCGAACCATCAGGCCTCTCTCCTCAAGGTTGACATGCAACAGAAAGTGCAAGAATGCCAAGAAGAGCTGGAAAGGTTCGCACAACTATGCACTCCGAAGGAATAGTCTTTTTGGGGTCGGCATAGCAAAGCTAAGGTAGATAGGTGGAGGATAGTCTCGTACCAAAGGCGCTCTGCGCTTGGAGATGGAGAAGTTTCGCACAACTATGCACTCCGAAGGAATAGTCTTTTTGGAAAGGTTCGCACAACTATGTACCAAAGGCGCTCTGCTCTTGGAGATGGACATGGGGGGCAGCAGTCTGGTCTCAAGAGGAGAAATTGAAATAACTGGGTTGCGGCAGTCTGCAGACTTATTGAAAAGCCCTCAGCCAGTTTAGAATCATATATATATATATATATTGTCACATAACTACGAACTAAAAGAGCGCACTTTGCGGAACAAAGAATAACAGCAAAAAACGGGCACAGTGATAACATGCAAAAAGAAAAAGAAAAAGAAAAAGAAAAAACAAGGGCAGATTGAAACCATTAAATTTCTCATTCTT